TATATATATATATAAAATAGACACGGCATGCATTAAAATAATTTTTTTTTTAAAAAAAGAAAACCCACGTACCCTCATTTACAAGCATACAGGGTGGGTTTTGCACGATCTCTTTCATGCACCTTTCGTTTATGCCTTTTCTGGCAATTCGATCACATTTAGACTAGGTACAAAGATGGAATTTTGTAGAGGACCATTCGTTGGAGAGCAGGAATATTCTTATTTCTCCCCCTAAGAGGGGTGAGGGTGGGAGGGAACGCTGGCCTGTATTTGCACATTAATCACCCGGGGCTATCACAGTCTGATTCCCGCTGTGTTTCTGGCTCTTGGTTACTGACTTGCCTATTGCTGTATGGATCTGTTACAACGTGGCTTGTACCCACAGTCTCTCTTTCTCTCAGATCTTCTTGTCTAGCCATCAGCGCCCCAAGCAATCAAGGTTTAGCTGTCCTAGCCCCTCTAGATATGATCCCCATAAATGCAGACACGTCCCCCCGAAACGTTCGTTCTGATGCTTGCTACCCACAAAATGTGAGGGAAACCCCAACAGACTACACCCTTCTCACGGGCCTGCCCCAAGATGATGGAGGGTGGGAAAGAGATTCCACTTACCTTAGTAAGCCATGTTTTCCTCCGTAAGTCTTTTTTCATTTTTATTAAGGATTTTTTTTTCCATTAGTGAAGAAAACAAAAAAAACCCCACCTAATAAAATAGAGAAGGGAAGAGAAAAGAAGAAAGAAAATAAAGTGGAAAGAAAAAAACAAAAGAGAAATAACTTAAGAAACTAAAGTAGATGACTTCTGACCTTCTTTTCAACAGCTCTCAACAAACCCAACATCTCCCTTTCTTCTTAACTATTCCAGAAATCCCTTCAGCCCCCTATTTAACTCTCCTCTTTTCCAATCATTAAATCCATCAATCATCGCTTCATTTTTTTAGCAACAAGTCCATTCAAGGTTTCCAGTCTTTTGAAAATGCACTTCTGGTTTTCTCCCTGACCAAACAGGTCAGTTTTGCCATTTTGGCTGTTTTCCTCCCTAAGTCTTGTTCTCCGGATGACCGCAGCATCACCATTAGCCGATCTAAGGTCTCAAGAGATTTCTGCTCCTGCTGGTATGGGACACAGCCACCTCGCCTGGTTTGCAAGAATGGTGGTTTCAAACCATCCATCCACCAAGTTGCCAGATTTACTTTAAGGCTGTAGATTTCCAATTGACCTACCCAGCATTGTTAAACCACTTGGTCTACTCAGTGCTAACTTTCCAGCTATCCTTAGTGACTTGAAGGCATTCTAGTTGTCCACGCTATTCATTGCTCCAAAAAGGAAAAAGAAAGAAAGAAAGAAAGAAAGAAAGAAAGAAAGAAAGAAAGAAAGAAAGAA